TAGTTCATATATTTTGAAACTCGACAATAAAGAATTAATATCTCCAACATCAATAATTAAGTGTTTGAAGTAGGCATACATACCAGTATTGCTTTTAAAAATGGTTATATTTCTAGTTCTAGCGATTTAGGGTTTAGGGTTTAGGATTATAATGGGAAACAAGGGATCCTGACCTACCAGATGGTTTGTTCTTGGTTTAGTGAAATAATTGATGTGACTTGCTTTGCTTCATTTATATGAACACATAAACATCCCCCACCTCCATTTTTTTCCCATTATAATTTTTGTTTCAAAAACTTGGTATAAACATTATGAGTGTTAGCACATGCATGTTCCATTTTGATTATTTACCATGTTGTTTAGGGTTAGGTTTATGGGTCTATGTGATGTCCGAGTAAAAAAGAAGTACATGAGTGAACCGTGACTACATTTGAATGAGAGTGACACTCAAGTAAAAATGAGGTACATGAATGAACTGAGATCATATGTAGTGCGTTTTGCTATGAGCAATTCTATGTTGGGTCACCTCCTGAAAAAACATGGTAAAAAAACTTGTGTTGGTCTGTGGGGATAGTTGTCTTCACTCTTAGGAGTGACAAGTACGTAACATGGTCTGTTGGAGTAAGAGGTACTGAACTGGGGTTTTAATTCGTGAACTGAATTTTGGACGTTGAGCGTTCCACTTACACTCTCTTATTCAGCTAGCTGTGAATCTCGAAATCAGTTAACCAAGCAATCCCGATGATATGAAATTGAAAAAGAAATCGTAAAAAAAGGGGTTGGGTTGGGGCAAAAAGGGAGAGTGAAAATGATAGGGAAAGTTGAGTCATTTTCACATATTGGTAAAGCATTATTCTTTGTTTTGTGTTTTGATGAATTTGGGGCACAAGATGTGACACATACAATTTGACATGTTTTGGAAACAAGGGGAAAGCCGACTACATATCATTATTGAAACATTCACATGAGGATGAGGGAAGCCCGTTCTTCTTGTTCTTGTTCTTGTTCTTCTTCGTTCTTCATCAAGGGTTTGTGTCGGCTCAACATAAGAGTCCTTTTCAAATCATACGATTTAAGTTTTGATATTTAGAAAATCGTGCATTGATCAGCGTAATGTTTGTCGGTAGTGTTTTGTTAGTTCTTGAACTTGTTTAAAAAGCACTTGTTGTTAATACCATTGTATATGGTCGTACACTCGTGCTAACCTAGCTACACGAAATAGATTTCTCGAGGTTCTTTAGTAATATCATTATGACTTTTGAAGTCATGCGTGGAAGCAATATCAAAACCGAATACAACGAGTAGTGAAGTCCTAAGCTAAGTCTCGACTAAACCTTGAAAATTATAGTTTCCTAATGTCTTTTCAAATCGTTTTTAGTCATTATTCGATTGTAATAATTTTTGCTAAAAAGAAAGCTTGTGTTGTGACAATTCCATCCAAGTGATAGGGTTACACCTATAGCATGTTCGTGGACAATATTGAAGAATCGTGGATGAGTCTGATTAGGAGGTGAAATGCCACTTAAACCACGAGATAGCTAGTTCTCTTTGAATTTGCTGTTGTATGCACTCACATTTGGCTCTTTCGAGGTTTGTACGGTTAAAGTAGGATGCTACGTAATTATACCCACATCTTGTCGTTTTCAAAACCTAATCGATCATTTTTAAGTGCGTTTAGAAGCCTATGAAATTAAATACATACGTCTATAACTAATTGAACTTAGATTAAAAAAAAAAAACGAACAACTTTAATAAATAAATAAAAAAAGTCATAGGCCAATTCTTGAAAATCCTAGGGTCATAATACCCTTTCAAATCATTCTTAGCCATATTCGATTGTAATAATTCTTGCTAAGAAGAAAGCTCGGGTTGTGGCAAGTCCACCCAAGTAATAGGGTAACTTCTATAGCACGTCGGTGGACAATATTAAAGGATCAATGGATAAGTTCTAGTTAGGAAGTGAAGCGCCACTCAAGCTCAGAGGTAGCTAATTCTCTTTAAATGTGTTGAGACGTAGCAGTTAACTCGATATCTAAGAATAAAGATTAGAAGGGTTAAGGTGAATGATGGACGACGTCACGATTCAATTTGATACATTGGATAACTCCTATAAGCTTATCTCGATATTGAATTGACATCATTTGGCTCTTCTACACTTATCTCAATAATACACACATAAAGGTGAATCGCGACCTCGCAATCATTTCAATCGTCGAGGGGCGACCACATCTTATATAGCTCATATCATTTAAGGCACGACTCTCATAGATCATATCATATCCACATAATGAGTAACTTCACATATGACTTGTTAGGGCCTAACCCTAGTAGAATCTCATATTACATGTTACTTTGTGAGATCCCACGTTGGTTGCAGAGGGGAACGAAACATTCTTTATAAGGGTGTAGAAACCTCTCCCTAACAGATGCATTTCAAAATTGTGAGGCTGACAACGATACGTAACAGGCCAAAGTGAACAATATCTGCTATCAGTGGACTTGGGCTATTAAAAATAGTATCGGAGCGAGACACCAAACAGTGTGCTAGCGAGGACGCTGACCCTGATTCCACATCGGTCGGGGTCGGAGTCAGATACCGAACATTTCTTATAAAAGTGTGAAAACCTCTTCTTAGTGGACGTGTTTTAAAATCGTAAGGCTGACCACGATAGTTAGCAATCAAAAATTGACTATATTTAGTTTTTATCAAAGACAAGTTTCTAACAACCCACAATGTTGAGTTTTGAAAGATTAAGGAATTTAAACAACCAACACAAATTAATGGGAGGTTTGCTCATTTTTCCAAAGTCAATAATGCATTACCACAACCCACCTTTTTAGAAACCCTTAGACCCAATATTGCATTTATTGCATTTCGTTCATTAGACAAGATCGATTTGATCTAATCTCGTTCGAGTAAAGCCCTTTTCATATAAGAGAAGATCGATTCAATCTGATCTCGATCAAGTAAAATCCTTTTCATATAAGAGAAGATCGATTTGATCTGTCTCGATTGAACAAAACCCTTTTCATTTAAGAGAAGATCGATTTAATATGATCTCGATCGAGTAAAACCCTTTTCATTTAATTGGGTCGGTCATGAAGAATAATATATATGATAAAGTTTTATATATACGTAAAGATCGATAACTAGTCATTTCTAGTTGTTATGATCACTAATGGAAAAGAAGCACTAAATTGTGTTTATACATCTATTAGAAGTTGAATCTATCCTCTCACTCTAAAGTAAATGGCGTTTAAATTTTATTAATGGTAATTACACGATGAGAATATATATTAAATTTTATTAAAAGAATATACGACTTAACTAATTAAAATTAAATTAATATAAATTTATAATATATGTGCAAGTCGTATGATAGGGTAGGGATTAGTATATTTTATTTATAATATAAGGTTTGCACCTTGCACGAGGCATCAATTAATTAAGACGATGCAATGATGGTTAGCCACTCCAACCTTAGCCATATATAAAATAATTAATTCTATATTTGTTTCTATCTTAACTAATTAATTATATATTTTAATCTTTTTTTAAAATAATAATAATAATAATAATAAGAGAACCCTAAAAAAATGGATGGTTACCCACTACAACTTTAAAAATTAAAAATTATATAATATAAAAATTTCTTCAATTTCAAATAATTGCTTTTTGTAAATAAAATGATTATATTTTTAAAATGAGAAATGAGTGGGAAGGAAGGTTGTGGGTTGGTGTGGACGGAAAATGGAACAAATATTTTAACCCAAATAAAAAAAAATAAAAAAAAAAGTTATTTTTCTTTTTAAAAATAAATAATATTTTATAATTTATTAAATATAAAAGGAAGAATTTACGAGGTAATTTGATTAAAAGTTTTTGAATTTTTTATTTATTTATTTTTTTTTGGATATGCTAACCCCACTCTTGCTAACTTGTTAGGGGAAAAAAATAATTAAATAGATTTATATTTAATTTAATACATCTTTTCGGAGTTACCTTTGTAGTATTCCTTTTAAGAATCACAATGGAGTTCGAGAGATTTAAATATTTAGATTCAAAAAATGAGTACATATCTATTCTTATGGACTAACTCGAAATTTCAGATTGGTTGGGTTGGTGACCTGAGCAACCCGAACCCGAATATAACTCATAACCCAACCCTTTGTTTTTGAGTTGAACTATTTATTCGTAATCTTTTGTAGTGTAGAGTATGGTTGTAACTCTATTTACGGGTTGGTTAGACTGACATTAAAAAAAATGTAACCAAACTATGTGTTTAATTTAATATGAAAAGGAAAGGTAAATAGTGATGGCACATCATTACTAAGTTTATGGAGCATGAAACCTAGAGAATAAGACATATATCCACCTCTCCATATATATAATATATATTAATTCAATTAATCTTAATTTATTTTTATTTTTTATTTCTATGACTTTTTAATTTAAAGGGGAAGTTAGAAGTCCACTATTTGCTTTTCTTAATATTATATTATGTATTTTCCTAATATTTGAATAATTTAAAATTTTAATAAGTTTTATGAAAAATTTATAAATATAAATCCATCTTTCATTAGTATAATGAAAATGTCGGTATTAAATATAGAGATGTTCATTTAACCCGCATGGTAAATAATCCTCATTTAAATGGAAAATAACGGAGGGACTAAGGAGACTAGGACATGGATTACATTCCCCGACCCCGCCCCACTTCAAAATATATATATATATATATATATATATATATATATATATGGTTGAAAACTATATAATTGTGAGATCTTATATCGATTGAAGAGAAAAACGAACCATTTCTTATATTTTTTTCTTACGAAATATTTTTAGATTTAACGCGATGTTAAGTAGAATTGAACCTGATTCCGATTAGTGTAGACTATATGGGGAATGTACGTCTCAATTTCAGAAAAAAAAAATGGAGAATGAAATAGGAGACAGGTCTATAATCGAACACGTAAAGTTTATTTTTATAAAGGGTTCTAAGAAGAGAAGGGAGTCAAACAAACTTGAACTCCATGCTTAGGCTGAATGGTGAGAACAACAACAGGAGCATGGCGATAAGTGTCGGAAATAGTGAAGCTAAACTTGGAGAGGAACATAGCCAAGATGATCTTAGCTTCCATGATGGCGAACCCTTGGCCGATGCAGTTTCTTGGTCCGCCTGCAAATGGAATGAACCGCCCGCCACCGAATGCCTTGGCGGCGAACCTGTTGGGGTTGAACTGGTTGGCATCTTTGCCCCACAGCTCTTCGCTGTGGTGAATCGCCAGTACCGGAATCCATATGGACAGGCCTTTGGGGATGTCCATGTCTCCTAGCTTCATGTCCTCCAACGCCATTCTTGGCAGCACTGTGGCTGGTGGGTAGAGCCTTAGGGACTCGTTTATCACCATGTTTAGCTGACCAAAACATATCATGTGTGCATCAATGTCATGTCTCCTGTTCCTCGTACTACACACATACTCTACTTAAATCATTGCTAAATTTAAAGCTAAATGTCTCCAACTTCTAAAAATTTTAATAATATTCTTGATGGTAAAACAGATTCGAAAATGTACTTCCAATTCTTTTTTTATTTATTTATTTTATAAAAACCATTAATATTTTGTCAGTCCAAAGATCACAAATACTTTTATCATTAGTGTATAGATGAAACGGTTAGTACCATGTTTCAAAAATAACATTAATACTCGTAAATTTCTAGAATTTTTTTTTTAAATATTTTTACGGTTAATACCCTTGAAATTAAAGAGGGAGATGATGTACGAGAGGTAGACAAAGGATTTCCATCCATAAAGACTTTTTTAAATTGTTTTGATAGGACGGTTAAGAATGTTAATATGAAATTCGTGGGTATGTTTCAAATGATTTTGTTATAAAAATTTAAAGATATTTTTAAAAATTTTCCTGGAACGAAGAGGAGATAGGTTGATTACCAAAGTGAGCTTAGAGAGATGTTGAATAGACGGGGTTCGAGCGTTGCAAACTTGGTTAACTTCGGCACGAACCATGTGTTGCCAATTAGGGTTAGTAGCAAGCAACATGATGGTCCAAGTAAGCAAAAGAGCGGTGGTTTCATGGCCAGCAAAGAAGAAGGTCTTGCATTCGTCTATTATGAGCTGCAAGTTGAGGGTGGTGGTGGTGCTGTTCTTCCTCTGCTGCATCTCATTCAATAGCATTCCCAACAGATCACTTCCATAGCAACTGCTTCTTCCTATCTCCACACCATCTTTTCTGCTTTCAATAATCTCCATTAACAGCCTCTCCACTTCCTTCTTTAGTGACTTAATTTCTCTGTTGTATTTACTTGGAACAAACCTGCACCAAGACATGGAACAAATTTATTCGACACCCAAAAGATTCTATCGGTATACTTAAGTTAGAGACATAGTTTTAATGACACTTATCAAGGACAACAAATGTAATGGTCCAAGCCTACTGCTAGTACATATTGTCTCTTTAGACCTTCCCTCAAAGTTAATTAGACATCGGACAATGTGTTAGCAAAGACACTAGCTTCGAAGAGAGTGAATTGTGAGAACTCATATCGATTGGAGAGGCAAACGAATGTCAGATAGGAGGGTAGGCATTAAAAAGAGATGGATTGTGAGATTCTATGTCGTAGAGTCAAACATTTTTTTTATAAGGACGTGGAACTCTCCCTAATTGAGTAAAAGTTAGAAAGTGAAAGCAGAAACAAGACAATATCAATATTGTCTATTTTAAGTAAAAGTTGTTTTGCTTTTAATTTTTTAATATAATTTTTTTTTTTTAAGTCTTAGATAATACATAAATAGAAAAATTGTAAATGTAAAAAACAGGTAGCTTACCGGCTACCGGGAAGGCAGAGGTGGCGGCTGGCTTGGGCGCAGAGGCGCTGGAGAAGAGTGAGTAAGTGGAAGATTTGGTTACCCTTGTCGGAGTCGGTGTCGAACTCGGTCCGGGAAATGATGTCGGCGGTGAGTTGCTTCATGTAATCGGCGATCTCGAACTCGGTCCGGCCCGAGTCCAACTCGGTCTCCATTGATTGGATCATTTTGTTAGTGCATTCCACCATGAACCCCGCATAGCTCTTTTCATGTCATTACAAAAATCATATAAAAAATTCCAATAATATGATTACAAATATATAAAATAAATTCAATTTCTTTATCCCAAATATATTAAAAATAGTAAAATTCCTTTTTTTTTTTCTTCACCAAATATTGTTCATACATGTGGGTCCCATCATTCTCTTTTTAACCAACAAAAGGTACAATGAACAATTTTGATTTGAGCTAGATCTCTTCCAACAATTTGTAGATTTTATTTTTAAAATGTAATCGTTCAAGCTCATCGTTAATAGATATTGTCTCTCTAGACTTTTCTTTTCGATCTTCCCGAGTCTCCCTTCCAAATTTTTAAAACGTGTCTATTACTGAGGCCAACGTCCTTGCTGGCACACCGTCTTGTGTCCACCCCCTTCAGAGTCAACGTCCTTGTTGGCACACCACCTCCTATCTACCCCTTTGAGGCCAACGTCCTTGTTGGCACACCGCCTCGTGTCTACCCCTTTGAGGCCAACGTCTTTGCTAGTACATCACCTCGTGTCTACCCTTTTGAGGCCAACGTCCTTGCTGGCACACTGCCTCGTGTATACCCCTTTGAGGCCAACGCCCTTGCTGGCACACTACTTCGTGTCTACCCCTTTGAGGCCAACATCTCTGCTAGTACACCGCCTCGTGTCTACCCCTTTGAGGCCAACGTCCTTGCTGGCACACCGCTTCGTGTATACCCCTTTGAGGCCAACGTCTTTGTTGGCACACCGCCTCATGTTTACCCCTTTGAGGCCAACGTTCTTGCTGACACACCGCCTTGTGTATATCCCTTTGAGGCCAACGTCCTTGTTGACACGCCGCCTTGTGTATACCCCCTTTGAGACCAACGTCCTTGCTAGCACATCGCATCGTGTCCACCCCCTTCGTGGCTCAGCCTCCTCATTCACACATCATCTAATGTCTGACTCTGATATCATTTGTTGTAACAGCCCAAGCCCACCTCCTTTTTTGGCTTTACCCCAAAAAACGCGTCTATTACGGAGAAGTTTCTACACAGTTAAATCTTTCATTCTCCTCTCCAACAGATATGGGATCTCATCGATAATATATATAGATTAAACGGTTCATTCCGAAAAACGATCTCACCTTAAGCTTATCTCCCATAAACGCAGGAGCCACGATGTGACGTTGATGATACCAATCTTCCCCATTTGCCATCAACAATCCTTTCCCTATGAAATGTTTGGTCCCCTGTCGTTGCAGCCATGATCTCCCACACACACTGCTCTTCTTCCCCAACAGTTCTTTGATCAACTCCGTCTCGGCCAGACACAGCCGTGGCTCGGTCCCGTTCCAGTAAATAAACCTCTTCCCTGTTCGATCAAACGACACGGGTCATCGTATATTCAATCATTTATTCATATTCTTAGTACTATTCGTACCATATTGCTTTGTCCAAATGGTGTAATGAGGCAATAAGCGGTCGACAATATCGTGATCAATTGAACTCATGTCGTTGGCCGTGGACTTTGCCACAAGTCCCACTACGTCGAGGATGTTTCCGATCAACAGCCGGGGCTTCGGGCCACGAACGCCTTGTTGCTCCATCGTCTTCCGAATTCTTCTAGGGGTGAGGCAGTAGAATGAGAAAGTATCATATGAAATCTTTGCAAGTGATGAAATAAATATTACAAAAAGCGTTGTTAGAAAAATTATGAAGGCCATGGAAGATGAGAGGAAGCTTTGTTAGAAAGAGAAAATAGGAGAGAGATTGGTGGGTTTTTTAATGGATGAAGGAATGAGTCTATTTATAATGTGCAACTCACTCACTCATTAAAAAAAATGTTTTTTTTTTTTTTTTTTTTTT